ATCTCCGCCTTGACTGCGTTGGAACCTTCGCCCGTGATGGCGTAGCTTCCTGTGCAGGCTGCCCTCGCTTAGGTACCCTAGCTCCCCAGGCTTCTTCGTTTCCTTGCCTCCCAGTTCTCTGGTAGTGGCTCGCCCGGAGTTTGCTAGCAATGTTCTAGCTGCGCCTGATCGTGTCCCACAAAGTCACAAAGTCAAGCCCAAGCGTTTCTTCTTGTCATGGAAAAACTCATTGTCATAGACGTAGTAGTTCGCGAACCGGTCATTCTCGGCTGCGAGGGCCATCACTGAAACCGCTCTTGTGGTATGGTTTGAGAAGATTGGGTATGGTTCGGCCCATAGTGCTTGACCATGGCTGCACGGGCTTTCTCCACATCCCCGGACGGCCTGTTCCGGCCATCGACCTTTGGATGGCCGGAGAGTGAAGGAGTTGATGAGCGAGTTCATCGGCGGGGGGGTTGGCGAAGCCCCAAAAGACCCTGACGGCAAGCCCCCTCCCCGACGACGGCCCGCCCACTGCCTCGGCCTTGGTGCAGATCGTGGCAGAGACTGAGGTGGACAAGCTTGACACCGCGTTGCAAGACGTGCTGAAAAACGGACTGCTTGTGGAAGTGCAGTCCTGTGCCCAGCCGATGCGGGTCGCAGACCGCGCACAAAGCGGCAAGCTATGCGACATGACGCCGACAGCAACCACTGCAGGCACACAATATTGCTCCACGTGAACGAGGTGTGCAAGCTCTTCGTAGACGCAAACTGATGTCCTGAGGAAGGGATCCCAAGCACACAGCACTACTAGCAACAACTCTTGCCAAGAGATGGCGGAAGAATGCCTCAATCAAGACTACTGTCATTGCTGTAACTGTAACAGCCTGGTCATTGCTCCCTACGTCTGAGGAAGAAGACGAGATAGCAAACATGCGACACGAAAAAGCTCCTAGAACGAAGCCGTCCCTACATCGCAATGGCAGCTGAAATGCTCGTCAATGCGGCTCACACTGGGGTCCTGGGGGTTAGGTCGCCGGCTGGCAGCCGACCAAGCTTGCAGATGTCCCTACCCCCTTCATGCTGTCGGCTGCCAGCCGGCCGCCTGACCGGAGTAACGTCTGAAGGCATGCTGCACTGCAGCTCATGTCTGCGAAAGCATCACTCTGGAGTCACACCTGCTGGCTTCGGTGCCCAGACCTAGCCCTTTCAGCGGCCCAGGCCTGACCATCTTTCGAGCTCAGCCAGTCCTTCAGCCTTCTTCGCGTGACCGGCTTGTTCGCGGAGCGACGATCTTGCTTATAAATCGGAAGAGCTCTCCGCAGCCGGAGCTGGCCTTTCAGGCCTCATTTGTCTTTGGATCCAGCACCCGCGGCCGGTACAGGGCCATGTGGTCCTGACAGTAAACAACGAAAGAAAGGTTTTGCTGTCCATCTTTGACGTGACTCGTCTGAAAAGAAGTGACGGAAAGCTCATGCAGAACTGATCGTTTGCAGGAGTTGCAAAAGCCAAAATGTTGCACTGCCCGCTTGCTGCTCGTACTCGTCAAGCACGTGCAAGGGTTCCTTCAGCGCTGTGTGGCGCATGGCACTGTCTGTGGACCGCAAGCCATACAGCATGTCCGATGTGTAGATGCCGCGGTCATTCCTTTAATTGCGCTTAAAGCGATTCGACAGCAATGTGTTGTGTTGGGAGTGAAGGATAGCAACAACCGCATCCACGACGTTCTCGTCGAAAGCTCCACCAACAAATTTTGTAGCCTGGGCCCGCAGGCGATCGACCAAGACAGCTGTTGGCGCATGCTGCTGAGCATCCTAGAATGACTTGATGATGGAAGTATTTCGTTCTCGCTCGTCTTCTAAAGCGGCCAACAAACGGCAGCGGTGAAACACACGCGCAACTTGCCAACGTCCACGTGAGAAACCCTTCTGCGAATCCACGCTGGCAGACACTGCCTGCAACACGACACAAGATATGCCATTACTTCCCGTGCATGCGTGCGTCACAAGCACACTCGGGCACAGTGACACAGGAAGTGCGATCGGATCGGCTTGCATGCCGAACGCCAGAGGGTGAGGCAAACTTGTTGCCTGTTTCGTTGGTCTGTAAAAAAATATCGGCAGAGCAGCTCCGTCGCAAAACAAATCGCAAGCGTACAGATCATGCCCGGCAGGCGAAGCTACTTGCATGTCAATGGCAGACGAAAAACCGGGTTTCTTCGCGTGAAGAAGTTGGACGAGACGTAATCGTCGTGGCAAGACATAGAACACGACATAGCATATGCCATTACCTCCTGTGTGTGCGTGCATCACAAGCACACTCGGGCAGAGTGACACGGGAAGTGCGATCGGATCGGTTTGCATGCCGAACGCCTGAGGGTGAGGCAAACTTGTTGCCTGTTTCGTTGGTCTGTAAAAAAATATCGGCAGAGCAGCTCCGTCGCAAAACAAATCGCAAGCGTACAGATCATGCGCGGCAGGCGAAGCTACTTGCATGTCAATGGCAAACGAAAGAACGGGCTTCTTCGCGCGAATCAGTTGGACGAGACGTAATCGTCGTGGCAAGACATAGAGCACGACATAATATATGCCATGCATAGCTCAGCGAAGATGGCAGCATTGCTTCTGAAATCAAGCGCCCAGCCAGGCGCACCTGGAGTGATGGAGGCACCGGCATGCTCACGTGAATATTTTTTGAAGGGCCAGTGCTATTGACTAGTATATTGTGAACTAGATTGTTCCGTTGCATGAGCTCAGTATATGCAGCCATAACACGATTGCAAAACATATTTTTTTGCATGAAGCGAAATGATCGCTACATTGTCAGTAACATCTTAATCAGGCTCGACGGGTCAGACGTATGTTACATCACATCACGTGAGTAAGCGTTGTGGAAAGAGATCATGACTGCGCAGGCCAGGAAGATCAGAAGTATGTCGTCATCACATCACATTAGTCTGTTTCGTGAAGAAGGAGTCCTAAGTATAGCCTGAATGACATCAGGATTAGAGCAAAGAGAGCGGAGGTATGCCGTCATCACGCCACATGAATCTGCTTCGTGAAGAAGGAATCCTAAGTATAGTGTGAACGACATCAAGATCAGGCCAAAAGAAATTGGAAATGTGCTATCATCACGCCACATAAGTCTGTAAAATGTCAATCTGTAGAATAATGTAGTTAAGTATATGAGGTACGATGAAGTAGTGAACCTTGTGTTTATGAATGCTTACATAAAGGCAGAAATGCCTGGTTAAAAGAGACTGAAAAGGATCAGTCCCACATATACATACATAGGTACATATATATGTGCATGAGTGCAACTGATTGCCATGTACTTGTCTATCGAACTGACTTAACTTGCATGACATGTAATGCGCATCTGCCTTTACAGGGGTAGTTCTCTAAATTAGGGTCCCTTTTTAGGTCTCCAAAGACGTACGGCACCCTAAAAGAAAAAACCCTAATTTAGAACTACTCACCTGTTGGAGGAAGTCCTACGGGGAACTTTCGAGGTTTAGGGCCCATGTCCGTAGTCTCTGATCTCATAAGCCACCCCAAAAAGTGCCAACGTTCAGCTCGAGAGGGAGTAAGATGATCCCAAACAGTCTAAAGTGTATTCGTTTAGCTCACAAGTTTTTGCCACTGTTATTCCTGAAGTTGCTTGCTTGTTGCAGTTGAAGGTTTAGCTTTCGGATTTACGTTTAAATTGTAGGGCTTGTGTTTCCGAGCGCAGCATTCGAGCTTACTGTTCACTTGACCAATACAGTTCGTTGTTGTTGCTCCGTGTCTTGCTATGTCTAGTCGTCTTGTTCTTCTTGTTGTGCAAAGTCTTGCCAGTACTGTTTCGGGCCCTGAACCCGAACACCCTAAACCCTCAATCCAAAGCCCTCAATCCTAAAACCCAAACCCTAAACCCGAAGCCCTAAACCCCTAAATAAGCCCAAAGAAGCAGGTATCGACACCACGGCCTAGTAGGGCTTAAACAGCTCGTTTATTCAAGCTTCAGGGTTCAGTTCTGGGAGGTCTTTCTTTGAGCACCTGTTTGTTCATAGGGTTTAGGGTTCAGGGGTTTAGGGGTTTCGGGGCTTAGGGTTTAGGCTCGCAGAGGTCTCGGGACTGCCTTCTAGAGGCATGCGCAATCAGGGTTGAGGCCAAGGGGTTTCGGGTTTTCTTTCAATCCTGATAAGCCCTTAAAGGCTTTGGGTTCTAGGTTGGGTCCCACAATAGCCTCGATACATGTATATGAATTCCACCATGAATATGGCATATGAAATACAAACATAACGTGTGAATATGAGTGGAGTTCCACGTCCCTAAACCCTTAAAACAAAACAAGGTGTCCTTCGGACGGCACCGCGACTGAGCTGCTCGCAGCACCCAGCTCACGGGCAGTCTCTTGGAAGCTACCCTGGCGAACTTGACGGCCTGCTTCTAGAATGAGGATCCTGTCTGCAGCGGAACAAAGTTGAAGCCTGGGTTGTCATTTCAGGGCGCCCGAATCATTCATGACAAGGTACCATCTATAACACAGTAACGGACATCCAACAATCGTATTCCAAATTGCCACCTAGAAACTGATTCGTGGTCATCAAGATGGCCTTGCCTTGTGCACGCAGGGCCAGAACACAGCGGGAGAAAACGCTTGCACCAATGTGCGCATCCATCGCAGATAGCGGATCGTCTAAGATCACTACATCCGCGTCAGCATAATATACCCGTGCCAGGGCAATGCGAGCCCTTTGGCCACCGCTGATTGTGATGCCCTTCTCGCCAATCTCCGTGGCATCCCCTTCCACAAACTGGTCCAAGTCCTGCTCCAGGCAACATGCAGCGATTGCTTCCTCATACCTCTCTTCATTCATGGGGAGGCCGAAGAGGATGTTGTCCCGCACGGAGGCATTCAAAACCTGTGGGTTCTGAGGCACATAGGCCGGCTGGCCCAGAATTCCTGGGCTCTTGCTCCGGAACTTAATTAGCTTACCACCATAGGCATCACAGGGATGCATAGCAAGGCAAAAAGACGTGGTACAAGCTGTTCTGGTAGTCCGAAAGACGTTCCGTGTAACCCTAAACCCTAAAACGTAAGCTCTTAGCCCCTATCAGCAGAACCCAGATTCGGACCTGACCGGCTTCTGCAACTTGCCGCACCAACCCGAAGATACCGGAAACCAGCGTCGACTTCCCGGAAGCCACCGGGCCTACGGCCATCACCAGCTCTCTGGGACGGACGGTGAGGCTGATCTCTTGGAGATGTGGCCTCTCCTGGGCTGTGCCAGGATTAGACTGTGAAGATTCAGAATCGAAGTTTCAATTATTGAAACTCAAAAGAAACTCTTCAAGAAGGAGCCAGTCTCGCCATTCCATGAGAAGCTGGCGTGCTCCAGGCAGATTCCCTCCTTGGCCCCCTCCGGAGCTGCTAGAGTGGTGGCGATCTCCGGGACTAGCAGCAACCGCTCCACCCGGGCGATGCCCGCGCTCATGGTCTGCCTTCAAACCCACAACAACTTAGGGTTTGGGGATTACCTAAGAAGTCCCACAAATTTGGGGTCTATATTGCAAGGGGGAATCAGGCCACAGAAAAATGATTCCTAAGGAGGCCCGGCACAACTGCATCCGGCAGTTTGGCCAGAGCATGAAACCGAAGGAAAGCGGGTCGAAGTAGGCCACAGTCATCGAAACGATGTCGGCCTCTACGGTTTGGGGTTTAGGGGTTAAGAGTTTAGGGTTAGGGCTGCCCCTGAAAGTCTTGTATGAAGGGTCGGGACAGTGCAGGGGAGGTTCTAGGCTTTGTGGTGCGCGGGGTTTAAGCCTTCTGTCTCGGGGCTTCATCTAGGGATCTGAACAGACAGTAAGAGCATCAGCTTAGAATCCCTATATAACGAACATAAACCCTAAGAACGGCCCCAAGACCCTGTCCTAGTAACACCGCATCTGGAACCGTATGAGCCTTATCATTAAGTTCCCTCACAAGAGCCCGATGTAGGGCTTCATAAGGCAGCTTACAGTGGAGGTCTGGGGCTTAGGGAAATTCAGAGGATCTCGAGTCATACAGGGACCGTGAAAATCAGAGCAGGTTTAGGGTATAGGCATAGGGTTTTGGGGTTTGGGATCTAGGGATATGATATGTTAGAATACAACTACAAAAAGGAACCCTAAGGACTAGTTTCAGAAATTTATCTAGATTAGGGATTGTAGTTTGGTACGAGTCGAATAGGCAAGGAAGCCTAAGAACACCATGAAGGAATGATGTCGGTAATTGTTCAGACTGCAGGGCCCTTACTAATTAGAATAGGGTTTTGGGCTCCTTCATAGTATACTCTAACAAAGAAATTTAGGAAATAATTATTGAGGCTTCTGTACTATGTTAAGGCCCCTTATCGGACCTCTAAGGCGCGGCCCAAAGCAACGTGTGTCAGCAAGGAGGCCGTGATCCCAATCACGGGCAAAGCCGCCATGGCACCTTGCTGCAAGGCGTAGCACAGGTGAATCCACGACAGAAGCCGCACCTAACAGGGTTTTAGTGTTTAAGGTTTAGGGGTTTAGGCGGTTTAGGGCTTAGGGCTTGGGGTGTTTAGGGAGGGACATGTAAAAAAAATGAAGGAGGGAGCTCCGATAGAATCTGGTCTGGCTCGACTACACGAACAAACTCTAAACCGAAAACCCGTAAACCCTAACGTCCCGCGAGCTTGTCCCGACCCTGGAACCCTGGATCACTAAACCCCTAAGCCGCAAACTCTAAATCTCGAACTACCAAACCCTAAAACCCGAAACCCGTGAACCACCAAACCCTTGGCCTTGAACCCCCAAACCCTTTAAACCCGAAGAAACTAGCGGAAGTTGGGAGGCAGGCCCCAAACCTTCAACATCCCCAAACCCTAAAAACATCCCTACATCCCAAACTCGCGCGCGCCCGCGCCCTAAAGACGCCCTGAACCCCAAACCCAAACCGCCAGAACACGAGACCCGCTAGACCCTAAAATACTAAAACCCTGGAATCCTAAGACCCTACCTGTAGCCGAAGAGACCTAGCTTTCTTAAGCTTCCTTATTTATGGCTTCGATATTATAGACTCCTGAAAAAAGGTACAGTAGGCTTTTGGGCCACAGGTAAGCCCGAAACCCTAAACCCTAAACCCTGAAACCCTGCACCCCTGAACCCCTAAACCCCAAACCCTAAACCCCTCAACTCCTAAACCCTAAACCCCTAAACCCTTTTTCTGGGCTATGCCTCTTCATCTCGCACTCGTTTGATCTTCGCCTCCAAAGCGCCCTCCCAGGCGCAGTACTTGATCGATCGTGCCCCTGTGCTGGAGCTGCTTCGGCTTTGGGGCCTTTAGGCTTTAGGCTTTAGGCTTTAGGGTTTTAGGGCTTTAGGGTTTTAGGGTTTAGGGTTTTAGGCTTTAGGGTCTTAGGGCTTTAGGGCTTTAGGGTTTTAGGGTTTAGGGTTTTGGGGTTTAGGCTTTAG